TTCATTTTACCACATTGAGTTTGTCTGATAACCCCCACAGCTTAGATGTCCCAACTGTTTGTACCACAGGTCTTTATAGTCAGCTTTTAAAACATGTTATGAAATTTCAAGTTCAAGCAAGCAGTATTTATCATTAGACCTAGCACCACATAGGACACAACTACTATCACTTTTCAGAACCTTACATGTATTTTTAGTGAATATTTCCATGAGTTCATCAATACAAAGTTGACCTACACTAATCAGGTTAGCTTTTAAGTTAATAATAAACAAAACATCATTCAAAATAGGTAATCTGCCTATAACAATAGTACCAACATCCTCAATTGTACTTTGGGCACGATCCCCAAAAATAACTAGTTTACTTGCATGACATTTAAAGGTGGTTAGCATAGAATGGTTACCGGTCATGTGTTTAGAACATCCACTATCAAAATACTAAGAGTTGGGTACAATAGATTTATATGCTATATTAACAACATAACAACTAAGGTCACTTTTTCTTACCCAAATTTGTCTTAATCTAACTTACGATTTTGCTTTTAAAGTGCCAGCGAGCAGGTTAACTCTTTTTTTGACATGTTTCTTGTGAGTTAAACAATAAAGTGAATGCTGTCCATACAGACCACAGAAATTGTATCTTACAGTATGTTCTGTCTTACCGTTCTGATTTTGAGAGTGATGTTTTACCTGGTGACATGATCTGAATTAATAGTCAAACCTGTAGGTATAAGTCAGACATTGATGCAATCTTGCTCTCAGTGATTTTGTCAGGTACTTTAACTATAACTTCAAATGTCTAACCTAGCGGTTTATCATATCCAGCTTATTTGACAAGCTTCAACTGGAGTTGATTCTTTCTTCTTTCCTTTCCCTTCATAGCCTAAGCTTTCTTTGATATTTGAGATTCTTCCATAGCTAAGAAATCACTTAGGAGGGTAGATCCATTGGTCAGTTGTTTAACTCTCTCCTTGGTATAGCTTAGTAAGGAGCTCCAAAACTTGATTTTCTTTTTCCTTCAGAACTTTGGATAAAGTTTCTTTTTCAGTTGCAATCACATCACTTTCTTCTTTAATGAACTCTATCATTGCAAGAAGTGTAACATTCTTCTCTTCTTCAGACTTTAGATTCCTTTTCAGTGTCATGCATTCTGAAATACATGACTTGGTCCGACTGTGACTATTCAGTGAATTTCTACCGCATCAACAATTTCAAGGAGTTATAGTCATACTGAAGGCTGATAGTAAATTAGGTTACCTGGTTATCGCCAGTTTTGTCCTCATCATCTGAATTTGACTATTTATCCTCATCTTCGCTCCATGTGATATTCATTGCCTTCTTACATCGAGACTTCTTTAGTATGTATACACATTCAACAACTATGTGTCCAAATCCTTCACATTCATGGCATTGAATACAATTTTGATTTCTCCTTAGATGAAGTTGGATTTTGCTTGAGTTGTTAAAAAACTTCTTCTCTGTTTTGGTTGATGTTTTGAACTTCTTCCTTTTTTTTATTGCTCTTCAGAAATTTCTTAAATTATTTGGTGAGCATGGCCATATATATTTATCACTCTCACTTTCTTCATCATATTCTTGCTCAATATCTTTGGCTTTGAAAGAAATTCCTAATCCTTTTTCTTTCTTTCTCCTACAAAGATGCAACTCATATGTCATTGAGGAGCCTACCAATTCTTCCACCTTTACACTTTCAATGTTTTTACCCTCTTCAATGAAAGTTACTTTGGAATGCAATCAATTAGATTGTGATCTAAGAATTTTCTTTACTATTTTGCTTTCTTAATACTTCTTCCTGAAGTGTATGATGAGTTACTTAAATTGTTCATCCTCTCATTGTCAGTTGTTCAAATTCAAGGGTGAGCATTTGAGATTTTGAAAACTTCACAATAACAGTTCATTCATGAGTTACTTGTAGTATATCCCAAGCTTACTTGGCTACCTTGCATGTAGAAATCAAGCAAAATTGATTAGAATCCAAGAAAGAGATTAATTGCATTTAAAACTTTTGAATTCCAACCAGCATTGCTAGACTCTATAGTTCCACACTCTTTAGCCTTTTTTCTATCTTTCTTTCTCATTTTCAGTCACATTGGGTATTTTGTATCCATAGATGATAGAATGCCAAAAATTTTATCTAAGGATTGGACATAGACATGCATCCTAATCTTCCATAAATGTGTAGTTAGTCCCCGTCTAAGATAGGAGGTCTAAATGGTATTTCATCCATTACTAGGTTTTTCGTGGATCACACTTTAAAGTGATCTCGCTCTGATTCCAAGAGCAAATTCTAAAACTAGACAATTTAAAAATCCCTTTTTAATTATATTATTTAAACTGCGGACTTCGTTCAGTTGGAATATTCTATACTTAGTTTTTAGTAGTTCTGACTGCAACGTGTAGATTAAATCTGTATTCTAATAATTTTAACTATGTGAAAATTGACAAGTAGGTTAAAACTTGAACGCCGCATGTAATGTAGTAAATTTCAAAGGGAAGCTTCCACGGACCCCATGCCATCGGTCATACAATCCACTAAATCAAATGATAAAAATACAATAGTCTCGATTTTGTAATTTCGTAAAATCAACAAAAATAATCAAAAGAAATTTAAGAATAACTCCCTTGTATCTTCTTCTTTTGACTTGATGAGAAGTGAAATCAAACCCTCCGGTCTTAACTTTATCACCACTTCACTATTGTACTTGGCCATAAGAACTTACAGTAGGGTCCAGCCTAGAAAACTCACTAAACTCGCTAATCTAATTCCCGTAATCTCTAAGACCCACTGAATGTGCTTCACTCACACATGTTCCCGATGCGGAACACCAAGAATGTCTTGTTCTTGTACTCTTCCTACGCTTCTGGTCCAACATCTCTCAATTTTCAACAACCTCTGAAAACTATTGAGAAAGTACCTTTCTAATGATATCTAGGAAGTCGATGTTTTGGATTAAAAGAAATCCGATGTTTTTCGCAAACTTGTGGTTGATTTATCTCAAGAATCAAAAAGGTTACTCTCAATATTTGGATGTGCTCTTGAATTTGGAAATAATGATGTAAGGATGTAAAACAATTTTCAACCAAACTTTTAGACGTTCATAAAATAGAATATATATATATATA